TAATTTGTGACTATTGTAAAGGGTGATGTATCTCTTTCCTTCTCAGCCTGTTTGTCAATTATATATAGAAGGGTTACCAATAATAGGTTTCTTTATGAGTGTATATTTTCTTAGTTTGGGGAAAATTTCTTCTATAATATTGTTGAAGATCTGGTCTATGCCATTAACTTGCCATTAACTCCCTCATCAATGCCTATAATTCTAACTTTTGGTAATCCTCATTAGTCAACATTTCTCCAGTACTGGTGGGTTTTAGAGAAAAGATACTGACTTGATCGTTCATATTGTTGGTATTTTTTGCAATGATATCTGGGCATATGGACTTCTTTCATTCTGAATCTGTTGGAGCAAGTTGGAGTAGAAGAAAGGTTGGGATAGTCAGGGAAACTTACAGGACTAGATCCTGGAGGAAGCTGTCTAAAGTCTGGTTACTAAGCAGAGTGCAGTGCAGAAGTGACCTGTAGGTGGCTTCAGGTAGGGCAGATCTTGGCAAAACTAAAGGTTGGTTTTAGTACTGGGAGGGGTGGTGTGACTAGGCCAGGGCATGAGTATGGGACCTGGAAGAAGCCTAGAGATTGGCTGTAGTGCAAGTTGAGATGGTCAAACTAGCCGAGGGCACTGGATTTTTGACCCAGGCTAGATCTGGAGTGCTTTAATGAAGCTATGGATGGGGAGTTCAGGGAGACTCACCAGGCTAGACCTTGCAGAAGGATGTACCTTTTCTGTCCTTCAGTGGGGAGACACATCCACCTTTCACACCCGTTGTCATGGTGGTGGTGTAATGAAGAGGCTTACACACTGCTGCATGGCAGTCATAAGCCATGGAGGCCAGGAGATAGCACTCAACAGTGGCAAAACCCACAAAGAAGAAATACTGAGCTGCACACCCATTGTAGGAGATGACCTTGTTCCCTGACTGCAATGCAGCCACCATCTTGGGAGCTACAGCAGATGAGTATCCCAGGTCCACAAAGGACAGATTACTGAGGAAGAAGTACATGGGAGTGTGGAGATGGGAGTCTGAGAAGATAATGACCATCATCCCTCCATTCCAGAGGATGGACAGCCTTTAAAGCCCAGGATCCACTTCACAACCGAGTCTTTCTCCATGGTCTATGGGAGCTGAAGAATGCTGGATTTGGAGTTGGGTCTGGAAAGCAGCTATTCAAGCATCAAATGAATTCCAGTCTTGTCCTTTCTGCCCTTCTCTTCCCTCCACCTGTCTCCACTTTCCTTTCTCCTCCTCCCCATTTTTCTTGTCTTCTTAATCTCTTTCTACTCTAACCCTGTGCAAGACCTTTCCTCATCCTTGTGACATTTAAAGCTCTATGAGAAATTAAATTAAATCTAAACTGTCATAGTACATAGTAAATTGAGTTTCTAAGTATATTTCTTTTTTAATCTATACCCCAGCAGAAGCAGAAAAGTGTGGGTCTTCCCATTATCTTAATGGTCTAAAGGCCTTTATAGTGCTATTTTCTGTCAAACTCACCTCAAACAGAGTTTGAATCCAAGTGCTACACAAGAATGCTGATTCTACTGTCAGTAGCTGGGAGGAAATCCTTATTCTCATCAGCTATAAATAAAGTCTTAATAAAGTCGTGTATTCTTTACATCAAACATGCAAGATAAATTGCAAAGATAATATGGAATCAAGTGTGTGTGAATCCATCATATTGAGGTAGGAAATGGCCTGAGTGGAATGAAGGCATGTGAACAGAGGGGATAATACCAGCATAAGATATGCACCCTGGTCCACACCTGGAGTGTGAGGGTAGATCTGGCTAGGTGGAAAGGTTGAATATAGTGGGAAAGTGTCCTGTTATTTGGGCAATAGGTAGGGAGAGTACTGGCTGAAGCCTAAAATTCTGTTGTGGTTCAAGTAGGGCAGGCCAGATTAGGCCAGGGCACTGTACGTGGGATCCAGTGTGTATCTGGTACATTGTAGAGAAAGAATAGATGGGGTCGTCAGTGGGTAAGAGGATAGACAAGCTCTATGTAGGTTCTCCAGATCTCCGATTCAGAAGCTTATTATGTCTCCCTGTGGTAGTCACCATGGGACAAGAAAGTTAGGTCCCCTACATGTTGGCCTCCTATTCCAAAACTCCCTCTTTGCTTTGTTCTCCACAAGACCTATGAGGTGTCTTTCTTATATAAAGGCTTCCCTGTGTACAATCTAAAACTAAACTTTGAGTTCTATATACACAGTTAAGATTACTCAGTTTTAGGCAGTGGGACCAAGTCCTGTGCTCATTGCATGAGTTAGCTGTTTGAAACCTAGAGCTTATGCAGGAACACTTGGCTCAGTCTGGGAGGAAGGGACTGGACCTGCCTGGACTGAGTCTACCAGGTTGATCGCAGTCCTTGGGGGAGGATTTGCCCTGGAGGAGGTGGGAATGGGGGGTGGGCTGGGGGTGAGGGGAGGGGGTGGGAGGGGGGAGAATAGGGGAACCCGTGGCTGATATGTAGAACTGAATGGTATTGTAAAATAAAATAAAATAAATAAAAAAATTAAATAAAAATTAAAAAAGATTAATCAGTTTTGTATTTGAGGTGAAATTTAATGTATTTCATTTGAGGGGTTTCTTTTTTGAGATTGTTTTTCATTTTTCTGTCGGACACCATTGTATTTTATTTGAACTGTACATTATTAACTTGCAATATACTTAAAATATGATTACATTAGGTCTACTCTGAACTACTATTTTTGCTTACACTCTCTGCTTTTTTCTCTTTTATTTCTCGTTTTATAGTTTTACTTCTTGAGAACTTTATACATGAGTACTTTATCTACATCACTGCCACCACATTCTCTCCCCCACTCAACTCCTCCCACATCCCTTTGTCCCAAACTCACAATGTCTTCCTTAACTAATATTGTGACATGTATATATCATGTCAACTGGTAGTGTCATTATGTTGGTCTTATTCATAGAACCATATTGTTAAGAGTTAATGGGTACATTTCCCTGTCATGTCTAGGGGACATTATTTACCAGCCAATATTCTGGGCCTCTGACTCTTGTTCAGGCAAAATCTGTTTATATTTTGGAATTCTGGACTATATAGTGACTTTCATTAATTATATCTATAAACACCATCAAGCAGTTAATATGTAAGAAGCAATATTAATCACTACTCCATTCTCATGCAGACATATTTTCACACACCATTTGGCTCATGGAACAAGATATGAGTGAGGGTAGGTAGGCTTGCACTGTGCATCTTTGAGTCACTCTTATTTTAAGAAATAAATTCAGGCAGACTTTTTTATTCTTATAAAATCTAATTAAAAAATACCAGACTGCAACAGTTAGCCAGAGGTGAGGGGGGTTATTGAAAAAATAAAAATAAGAGCAAAAGTCTAGAAGGCTATTATACATAGTTATACTAGATTTGCCAAACTTGATAGTTCTGAAAAAAATGCAATAGTTCAATTCAGAAGATAAAAATCTTTTTTCATGATCCTTGGAATAATTGCCAGTTTTCTCCAAATCTTCTACACATGTTGGTAAATACATTAGGCAGAAACCAAAAGCACAGAATACAGGGCAGCCTCTCCAAAGAAAGGCATGTGAACTGAAGTTAAAGTTGAAGGCGGTCATCTATTGAAACTGTTGAATTATTCCTAGTAGCTTATTACTTGCTACCAAAGTTATCTCAGCACTTTGGTAAAAGCAGATGGAGAATACAGAAGCATAAAACTATGAATCAGAAGTAGGAAAGTGAATGGAGACAAAGGGCAAGTGTTAAGATTTGATCCTAAATCATCTGATTCTTAGTCCAAGCCCTACCATTCTCTGATACATAATTAAAAACAATGAAGAATACTTTGTTGGTATTAGAAAGTTAAGTACTAATCAAACAATGTTGAATAAGGAGACAAAAGAGCAGCGGAAATTTACCACATTCACCAGTATGCTTTGATCTACTTTAAACAATGTCAAGAGAACCCCTCAAGAAAGCATAAATGTCCCAGGTTATGTTTGTTCTACAGAAGATCATCCTCTAGAAGAAAACATTTCCAAGTGCTGCTTCTTATACTATTGAAATAATCACTATTCTTGGGGAAGGTAGAACTGAAATATTCAGACTTCAAAAGTCTTAATGGCTCAGGAGATGTAAGATCCCTTACTTACCCGCCTACTTCCACCTCACACTAAAAGATGGAGGGTAAAGATTGTTGAGTATTTTCCAGAAGGCAATTTTCACTTCTTTGTTTCTCAGGCTGTAGATCAAGGGGTTCAGCATGGGAATCACTACAGTGTAGAACACAGATGCTATTTTGTCTGTGTCCATGGACTGACTAGAACTGGGATGCAAGTACATGAAGATGATTGTGCCATAGAAGATGGACACGGCGGTGAGGTGGGAAGCACAGGTAGAGAAAGCTTTCTTTCGTCCCTCGGAAGACTGAATGCTTTGAATAGCAATGTATATGAAGACATAAGAGATGAGAATTACCAAGAGGGTAAAAAAGACATTGAATCCCACAACAAAGAAGACAACAAGCCTACTGATGTGTGTACTGGAGCATGCAAGGTCCAGGAGTGGGGGAATGTCACAGAAAAAATGGTTTATTTTATTAGAACTACAGAAGGAGAGTCTGAAGGTATCTGCTGTATGGATTGAGGCATTGAGGAAGCCACAGACATAAGAGCCAATGGTCAGGATGGTGCATACACCCGTTGTCATGGTGGTGGTGTAATGAAGAGGCTTACACACTGCTGCATGGTGGTCATAAGCCATGGAGGCCAGGAGATAGCACTCAACAGTGGCAAAACCCACAAAGAAGAAAAACTGAGCTGCACACCCATTGTAGGAGATGACCTTGTTCCCTGACTGCAATGCAGCCACCATCTTGGGAGCTACAGCGGATGAGTATCCCAGGTCCACAAAGGACAGATTACTGAGGAAGAAGTACATGGGAGTGTGGAGATGGGAGTCTGAGAAGATAATGACCATCATCCCTCCATTACCAATCAGAGTAACAAGGTAGATGAACAAAAATATCAGGAGTAGAGGAACCTGAAGTTTGGGGTCATCTGTCAACCCCAACAGGATGAATTCCATCACTTCTGTGCTGTTCTCCATTGCAGTCAGCTTGAATTTTACCTGGTGTTTAAAGAGAATGAGCCATGAAGCTATAAAAGAGGACATTTTGAAGATATAAAAAAAATGGGACACTAACATATATGAAAAATGTACCATGCTCTACCCTTTCATTTTATTATAGTGTTAAATCCTTTGAGATGACTACAATGTGCCTATTTTACAGACCACAAAGATAATAACTTCACAATATTAAATGAGAATACCTAATTAACCAAAGTCAAAGTCAAATCTATCTCTGCATCTCCGAGTTCAAAGTGCATGTGCATGCACATTATTATGTGGTTGTATCTGGCAACATCAGTTTTGAGACTTACTCACCTTTCAACAATCAGAAAAAGAAAACTGTGAAGTAAAATAATGTGAACCCATTCTTCCTTCTCTGCTTCATTCTGCCTTAATAATATGATCTCAATAGAAACTTTGTGAAACTTGTATATGTGCATAATTAAATCACATAGACTGTAGAAATCAATATATATAGAATTCACTATATCTCTCTCCAAAATCTCTCCTTGAATTTAACACATTTTTATCTTAAAATCAACACTTGGGAGCTAATACTACCAAAAAAGGAATGTAAACACCAACCAATCTACAACCCCTTTGGTTTACAATGCTGTCCTTCCTGCAAAATATGCTAGAGTAATGGTTTCACAAAGGTTGTGGGAGAAGCAAATCAAGATCTAATTTGACTTAAGGCCCACTCCACAAGATGGAGCCCATACTTGAGGTGGCTTGGGTAACCAACAATCTGTGGCTAGATAGCCCAGAAACCCAGGGTAAGACCAAACACAGAAGATCCTAAAAAAAAATGATGATAAAGTGATTTCTAATGATATTCTGCTATACTTATAGGTCAGTGCCTTACTTGGCCATCACCAGAGAATATTCCTATAGCAGATGGGAATAAATATGGAGCCACAATCATACATTATGCACAGAGAAAGAGACCCTGGAATACACATCTATAAAGGAGATGTCTTCATCAAATCCCTTCCTTCAGAGCTCATGGGACCATACAAAGGAGGAGGCAGAAAGAGTGTAAGAGCCAGAGGGGTTGAAGGACACCAGAAGAGCAAGGTCCTCTAAATCAACTAAGAAAGCTCGTATGAATTCACAGAGACTGAAGCAGCATGCACAGGGCCTGCATGGGTCTGCACCAGCTCCTCTGCATACGACTCTCAGTTTACTGTTTTTATGAGACTTTTGAGTGTATGAACAAGTAGGTCTCTGATTCTTGTGCCTTCTCTTAGGCTCTATTCCTTCAGGTGGTTTGCCTTGTCCAACTTCAAAATGATAGTCTTTGTTTTATTTTATGGTATTTTATTTTATGTTTTGCTATCTCTTCAAAACCTATTCCTTTCTAATGAGAAACAGAAAGGAAATGGATCTGGATAGGAGGGAAGGTGGGGAGGAACTGAGAGAAGCAGAGGAAGGGGATACTGTAATCAGGATATGTTGTATGAGAAAAGAACCTACTTTCAATAAAAGGAGAACAAAATAATTTTCTGTAAATTAAAACACGTGGAGAACTTTTCCATCTTGCATTAGATTATTTCCATGGCAGTATAATTTATACTCTCTTTTTTCTTGCTAAACTGGATATCTGGATCCCTTTTTGGTTCATGACTGTGATGACTGGGTGTTCACACCATTCCATGATATGTGTCTCCCACAAACCTTGTAATAGCATCTGCACATTATCTATCTGATACAAAAAAAATGATATCATGTCTCTTCATGAGTACTAAAAAGCTATCATTATAAAACAAGAATGATAAGACTAATCAATAATTAAAGACTATTGATCAAAGTCATAAAAAGATAACATTGGAAATTGAATTAAAACCTTGGGAAATTTCAAACTAAATCCAGAAATTTTAAATGTAGTTTCTAATATTCTTATAAGTTTATTTCTAAAACATAGCTAAAGAGAAGGTGTAGTATTTATAGCATTTAGGTTTTAAAAATATAAGTGAATATTTCATAATTATATTAATGTAAGTATATATGCATCAGTTTATATGTGTGTAGAAGTTTTTGCTGTTGGTCTTATTACAGTTAAGTCCTCCTCCCTTTGTACCCTCAAAGCATTTATGTCTTGATTATCACACATTTAGTCATACCACCACCCAGTACTTCAACTTGATTTAAGACCCTGGAAACAGTGATGGTATTAATTCCTTCTTGGCTCACTCAGTCAACCACGGCTCCTTGCTCATAAAAATAAACATTCTGTAAGTTAAACAAAACATCAATTCCAAAGCATAAAAAAATTTTCATGTTTTTAAATTAACAACAAATAGGCTACAGTTATTTTGTCCAGTTGAGTCCACATTTCCTGCCAAAACACTAGCTTAGACTTATGTACAAGTATTTCCAGAGGAAATAATACATTTGGAGAAAGTCAGGGCTGGAGAAAGGCTTGTATCCTACTTTGCAGAATTCCCTCCTTCTTCCAGAAGCATTTGCACTGTAGACTTTGCCTGTCCCTACTTACACAATGAGGGGAGGGGGAAGCAGGCTAAGAAGAGGAAAGAGAAGAAATGTGGAGAGAGAAAACGGAAGGAGAGGAATGGGAATTAGGAGAGCACTTCGTTTCCTCTTGGCCTTAGTTTGCCTTAGAAAGCAGCCACCACTATCAGTTTGCTAAGGAGCCCTTTTTATATAACATGAAAGAACAAGACATCACAGTCAGTCTGTTCTATTTGGATGGTCATTCAAGAAGTGTGCCTGATTTTATAAATACTGGTTCAGCCATCTTGGGACACCTTTATAAGCACTATTCCTGTAATACCCTCATTTGTATTGTTTCCTGCCTTACCCAGCCTTTTTTTTTTTTTGACATTTGTATGCTTTCCAATTTAGCAGGCACAGTACTCTGTCTCTTTAGCAGACAGTGTCCTAATCTAACATATTTAAAAATTGAATCATGTGTTGCCCCTGGAGATCACATAACTACTAATTTTCTCACTTATACACTTTCTTGGGGCCAGAGTTCTCAACATCAACTTTATCAACACAATGAGCTAGACAATTAATCAGTGCAGATCATATGTGCTAGAGAACACTTAGCCATTTCTCTGGCCTCTACTCACTAGATTTTAAAACAATTCCCCCCAATTTTTCCTAAATGTGTTTCTGTGAAAAATCATCACAATATCTCATGAAATATAGTGTCCTTAATGGTGGGTCCAGTTTTAAAGATTATTCAAAAGAACACTTCCAGAACTTATAAAGTGTTCGTGTCCATATCTTCATTCAATAATTGTGTGATTGGATGGATAAGATGGTGACATAGATATGAGTGATATAGATCATACAGATGTGAAGAATCTGAGGCATGGGAGATGAAGTGACAAGTTCAAAGTCAAATGTTCCAATCAAATGTTGTTGCTTATTAGTGAAGGGATTCCAGGAAGGAAAGTAGCTTGCTAACTCCTCTCATTGTTTGATCAAGAAAACATAAACCATCCCACATCATATATCAACCTACTTTTCCTAATATAAGGTAAGATAAAAACAGAAAATTTCCAAGAATTAAATTTAGCTGACTTAGGGTGAATTCTGAATTCTTTTCCAAAGCACCTACACAAATGCTTCTGCCATCAATTTTATTGTATATTCCATCCAAGCATATTTTGGATTGCATCAAAGGAGTGTGAAGAGTCCCTCAGTCTTCATACCCCAATTGTAATGTCAATAGGATGACTAAATTTTATGAAGGAAGTAACAGATACTATTTTGTTTGTCATTTGTTGGATGATTTATTCATTGCCTAGATTACCGGCAACCATAGAGTGGACTTAAATGCTAGTTAACCAAGTGAATGAATTGCAATGCCACATCTAGGTTAAGATTGGGTCCCTTTTGAGATAAGAATTTGCTATATTGCTCAGGCTGAAAAAAGGACCCTACTGTCTCAGCCTATGAGTAACTGGCAGGAAAGACATGTGCCACCATGCTTGGCTAAAATAATAAGCTTCATGGTTATTTGCTGTAGAACTGTAGGCAAATCAGCTTCACACCATCAAGAGAAAATGAACTGGAGCAAAATAAGGGAAAATTCAGCTACTGTGTGCTCAATAGCCGTGTTAAATATAAATTAATTATCTATGACTTTATTCAACTCTGGGTCAAGCATTTGAATTTGTTTCTCGGGTTTTATGAGTGACATTTGGTGGCAACATCCCATTTAGTAATGGCTGTGTCAATGGTTGTCTTGTCTAAGCAAAGTGGCTGAAAGGTACCTATCGGAAACTTCTGTATCTATTCTTGTGAAATGGAGAAGAGGAGCCTAGGAAGTAGAATCTGGGTCTTTTATATCTATATTCTGACTTCCTTCCTCCAAGACCACCTCTTTATTTCTACCCACAACATAAAGAATGTTACTTTATTTAATTTTAAAAAATTAAAAGTCAGGAAAACATACCTATGGTCTTGTGACTTCTGCTTGTGACTTCTGATATCCTAAATCAGAACTGGCTTCAACCACTGGGTTTTTTGAGTCCTGTAAAATAAAAAGAACTGTTTGGTCTCTGAGGTCTTTCAATTTCAAGTGTGATAAAAGTTCAAAGGCGGTTAAAAGGTTGCTACAGAGAACCTACCCTGAGAGCCACACCAAACTGAGTGAGAGACTGAGATCTCTGAGAGATTGGTGTGTATGTAAATAGGATCCTCTGAAGGGAACATCCCCAAGGAGTCAAGCCCAATCCAGAGCTCAGTGACATGCAAACGTACAATCAAAACAACACCTTCCTGAGGGGACTAAGGCATTGCTATAATATGAACATTCCTGAAAGATATCTCAGGAGACAAAGGAGAGCCAGTTCCTTCTGGCTGAAAGCTAAGATCGTTAACAGGAAAATCCCATCAAAGTGTCCTGAAATAAATCTTTGAATATACACACTTTTCCCTCACCTCAAAGATTTCCTGTGTTAGAAGCTGGCTCTTTACCCAAGTCTCAATGGGGAGGAATTTTTAAATGATCAAAAACAGACTATAAAAAATCTAT